AGCATTAACGTTGCAATTTTTCCTGGTTGGAAGTTGCAATTTGAAAGTGACAGATTTGTTATTCTTGTTTTCATCAAAAGTTGAAAGCTATTAGCATCGAACGTTGAAACGCGTGATAGTAAAATGTTCCACAGTTTGAATGTTGACACATAGGGCTAGATTTCCTAAAAGTTTGTAAATTTTACGTAGTGCGTGTGAAGTTTTAAGGTCTTACGCTAGAAAGTCAAAATTGCAGTCATCCTTAATTGTGGCATCAGTGGAGTTTTAATTGTGGCAAAGGTGGCATTTATTCCTAAAATGCCACTTTTAAAAAGGCCTGGGTAAAGCGACTGTGACAGCTTCTATGGTAGGACATACCCTCTACTCACCTGCAATTATGGCAACATAAATCTCATCTTGAACCCCACATCTACCAACCATAAGCTTCCATTTTGAAGCCTCCATACAATGTCTTTATACACTTTAAAAGTTAAAAATCAAAACATAATCACATACATTAGTCTTTTCCTTGATCATCTCTAAACTTTCAAAAAGTCAATTTAAAAGTTTAGATATTTAATTTTAATCCAAAAAAAGTCCAAAAAACAAAAATACGGACAAAGAATTTTGGACAAAATCTCATATAAGATTCAAAGTAACACTTCAAGCTTCAAAATTGAAAGTAGTTACATTTGAAAAAATACTAGTAGAAATGACAATGGAAGAGTAAATACAAGCAATGTTGACATGAATTGACAAAACTTTCTATATATACTACTATTAAAAATTTCAGAGGTAGCACCGCGTTTGAACTTTGAAAAATTTGCCACCATCTTTAAACCGTCTCCCTACTGTATGTCATGTCCGTGCCACCATCTAACTTCAATGAATAAATTCTAGAACAAACTCTATTAATTTATAAAAAATAAAAGCTAAAAATTTATTATAAAATGTCTATGTGATAGTCAACTGATTACAGAGTGATTTGATGCTTGTGTTGATCCAAACGTGTTGGATTCTAATATTTTTGAAACTCGATATCTTTGGATATTCACGATGAGATTTTTTGATTATTTTGAAGGCGTTAGCAAGATAATGCAATTTTCTGAGTTTGCTAGCTTACTTGATTGTATTTTCAATGTTAAAATAATTAAAATCCTTTGCAATTGATGAAAAAGTTGATGATTTTAAAAACCTCAAATGATTTTTCTTTTACTATTTTGATTGATGATGAATATGTTGGTAATTGTTTTTCAACCGTCAATTTTTTATACAGTTCAAGCATGACAACATGAAACACTTAATAACTTTTTATAATCGATGGAAGTTCAATCGCTATTCTAATTTATTAACATGTTTACTAAAAAAAAATAGTCAACTTTGTTACTTGATCAGCAAGTCTTCAAATTACAACTCAAAAATCAAATTTTATCTCTAATTGAGATGTTAAAATTTTGGTTTTTGTTAGATTTTTTTTTGCCTTCGACACTACTCTTTCTCTTTTGGTTAATTTTGTAAATTTTGAAGTGTCCATTTGTTTGAATTGGGGTGGAAGTGGTTAAAGATGTTTGGCGGATTGCAGCTAGATGATAAATTCAATATGGTTTAAAAAGCAATCACTGCTCAAAATCTATTGTCACAATTGATTGCTTGAAAAACAGTGTTTGAGAGATACGTTGACTTGAGCAAGTTCCACAACATGATTTTGACATTATCTCAAATACCTCACAAAAACAAACATGGTCGTACAAACTATATTTTTTCAATTAAGTTCACATACAGGTTGTTGAAATTTGCAATGTATGTTGAAGTTGGATGCAATAGTTGTTGTACTATTTGAAATTTTGTTACTGTTATAAAGTATTGGATACTTTTTCCAATAGGCTTGCTAATTTTTTCCAAGAATTGATCAAGATATGCCAGAAGTGAAAAATATTTTTTCAATTGTGATCAAAATCAAGATAACGCAATTACAATAAGTAGTATCAAATGACTAGAACTTATGTTTTATCTTTTGACTATCTCTTTTTTGGGAGATGGAAGTCATGTCAAACTTGATTAACAAACATGATAATCACACATTACGTCTGAATACTAGAAGCGTCATACATCTTGATTTTGATACACTTTTCACAAATAAATGATATAGCAAATCTTTGTGTTGTGTATTTTTCGGAACAATCATTCTAGATATTAGAAGCATCACTCATCTTAAATTTCATCCATCTATCTTAAATTCAATACGCTTGAGGGTTAGGAAGTAGATTAAGTAGCAAATTTCTGCATCAAGTATTATTGGGACAAGCACTAGAAGTAAAAAACTAAACTTTTGGAAACAATACACATAATAAACTCTCGTCAAACTATTGCAAATGGCAATATTGAAAGAGTAGATAAGAATCAGTATTTGGAGGTTAAATAAATAAATAAATAGATATATAAATATATATATATTGCTATAACGTAAGTATGAATTTCAAAGTTGAAAAGCTGACATTGTCATCAAAGTTGAAAAAAGTTGATACCAACTTTAAAGTTGGAAAATTATCAGCATCTTTATAGCTGGAAAATGTTGGCGATACCTTAGCACCGTCATCAAATTTTTTGTTTTGTACATGACATTGGCAAACACATTATTATGCGAGATTTTTGTTGAATTATCTATATATTGTATTATCCAATATGCAAATAAAATAAATTAAAACAAGCTTAGCCGAACTCAATTGCTGATTGAAATCTTACGATCTTGCTTGAAAATGAAAATTTTGTGCTTTGCATGATATTTTTGTGGAACACTCTAAATATTGAATCTTCAAGTATGCAAATAAAATAAAATAAGCATAATCAAACTCAATTGCTAATAAAAATCTTACAATCTTCCTTGGAAATAAAAAAAACTTGTTCTTTGCTTCTTGACGCAATGCATCATTTTGTTGCGCTTGTTTGTGCAGAAGATTGAGTTTCTTTCATTCAACTCTCAAGATATTCAATCATGTTTGCTTTGCTTGTCTTGTCACACCATATCTACAAGTTTTAAAGTCTAATGTTATCAACATTCAAATTTTTATCGTCACTTTTTGTCTTTTTTGATAACTTTTTTTGGGGTATTATAACCCTTAGTTTTAACTGTTTTTAGTTCTATGCATAAAAACTACTATCAATATCAATCTATTAGTATTATATGTAGCATCAAAAATCATGGTTTCAATTATTATTTGTTATGATTGCAGTGCTTGGGATGAAAAACATACGATCATATCAATGAAAGGTTGCTTTAATATCTCTACAAGATGTTAAAAGTAATTATCAATACCGTCAATTGATGTAGTTTTACTAAATCTATTTTGATAACCTTCAAAAAATCAACAGATATGGATGTATATAGTAGATGACTTTGTTTTTCGCAAGATAAATATAATGAGTCAGCAAGTAGATTTGCTATTATGTCCAAAAAAAAATTATCGTATTTAGGATATGTCCAGATCATTAAATGAATCAAAGATTTCATATGTAGAATCTATAGCAAAGAGCTTGTGCTACAAACTCAAAGTTAGAGAGAGGTAGAGTGGATAGCAACAACGGCAAAGCATAGATATTTGTTTTGACGTTCACTATGCTTTGCTCTCATTTGTTGAGTTTTTTCTAGTGTAAAAACATGCACATATTAAAAAATGCAGACAAATTAAAACGTCGACACGAGCATACATCTAGATGTATGCTCGTGTCTATGCAAAAGTACGAAATATGTCTAAGAGTTCATACTAATATAATAATTAAGAGTCTACACTACTGAACGTCTTTCTAGTGAAAGTTAAGATTTTGCAAAATCTAAATTCTAACTATCATTTCATTATTTTTTATAAAATATACTATTACTAACATTTAATTATCTTCACAAGATCGAATATTGCTTTAGCTTTGAACAATACAACAACACATGCATTGAAAAATTGTAAAATGAATATTTAAGTATTTTATATGATGATTTATAACACAATGTCAAATTATGCTAGGTTAAGTTGTAAAAATGCAATTGATGATGGAAATTTTGTTGATTGAGGTACATACGAATGTAGCTGAATCAAAACAAAAGGTTAAAATGTGGAGAAATGGAAGTAGCAAAAATAACTATTTGATTAAAAAGACTTATCTCAAGATTATATTGAAATAAAAGGTTAATAATTTTTATTGTGATAAAAATTACATCTTGTTGCAAATTTAGTTAAAAAAAAAACACATCAAAGTTAAATATCACTTTAATGTAAATACAATTTTTGATTAAAAGGTTGAACTTATCAAGAGTAATAATTCACTTAATCTAGATAATGAGTTGATCAAATTTATGTATTGTGAAATTTTTTAAGAAATATTGTGCTATTTTCCTTGGAAAGTAGAGCTTCGCTTCTTGCATCAGAAGTGGCTTTTTCCAGGAATTCAGATGAAATTATCTCAATTAGTGAATTTTATTAAATTATCAATATTTAAGATAGTTTACAAAAACTTTTGATGACAAAAAATAAAGTTACCTTTCATCAAGACTTTTTGTTGTTATGAACTTATTACGCAATATTGAACCTTATCTATGAAATATCAACATGTGCATGTGAAAGTTATTTGTTTTTAATCCATACACGCGCGAGACCTCTCTTATGTTTATAAAAATATTGTAAAAAATTATAGTTTAGTGCGAACAACTCAATGTTGTATATATTTATGTTGAGAATGTTAAAATTGCTATGTTATTGCTAAATGTTAAAATTGTTGAATGTTGAGAATTTTGCTCTTTCTATTTATCCACTGGATATCAAGTAATTATAAGCAAGCTCAACGGATAATTCAAACGTGATCAATCATGCAACTCATCATTATGGTGTCATTGTTTGCTGGAACAGGAGAAGGTCAGACGACGTCCCTCTCAGCCTGAGGTTCCGAGCAGGTACATCTTGAGAGCTAACAATCTGAAGTCCAATCCAGATAACTCACTTTAAGGGGCACTCGTCCTAACGGTAGATAAGGGTGACCGAATTAGGTCCGAAACACTCATTCTGTCAAGATTTGACATCTATTGGAAGAAGGAGATATGCCTTTGACGCTTTGAATTCATCAACTACTTTATAAACCACAGCAAATCCAACTTGTCAAAATTAGAAGTCAACTGTTCTATGGCTGTACAGAATAGTACCAGATCTCCTATATCCAGATTCGCCGTGCAGGAAGCAACAACAAGAGCAGCTGCTGGAGGAAACGAGACATTGTTTTAAAAGGACAGAGGGGGGCGCCGGTAACAGCATTAAGAGAGATTGAGAGTGAGGCCAGAGAGGTCCCAGCAGGAAGAGGACATGATGGGACTTGCTGGTTGTGAGCTCTTTCGCGTCTTGACAACTCCTGTCCAGTTTCCATGTCGCACTACAGTATCCGCAACGAGAGCGTTATTTGCAATTCCGGACAGAGAAGATGATCGAAGAATTCGTTCATTATCGGCTCTGCGGGACGTCCACTATTATGTCTGCCCTGCTCTCTTATCTCGGGTCCCCGCATTTACCACAGGTCGGAGGTGAATACTCTCTTATCGCTTCTGCCTACACGAATTCGGTTCTTCACCGTAACATTTGTCAACGTACCAGCTGATAGTATATCGTAAGTAGCGATTTTCATTTTGAGCTGCTGTATGATTGTGGTCCTACATCCTCTGGAAGGTAATTGTGAGTGTGAAGAAGTATTTGCGGGGCTGCTTGTCGTATGTTATGTCATTGTAAACATCAATTCAATGAGCGTACCCTTGTAGTGAACTGCTGAACGCCTTGCTGTCGCCATACCTTTCGTTCGGACTTCTGTGCTTGCGAGTTGGATGTGAAGGTCCACTACAATCTTGATCTGGCTTGTTTTGAGGCTTGGGGTTCTTGTCATTACAGGGCAACTGCCTCACTACAAAATCAAGGAGGCCCAGTAATAATCTCAGGTGTATGTACTACTCGGGCTCCTGTCAGTCGGGAGTTGGAAAATGTTTGCGCTCTGTATTTATGATGAGAGATCGATAATGCTTCCTGTAGTGGAATAGTTTGGTCAGACGGGATCTTGACTAAGTGCAAATATCGGGTGAAATTTTGGAACGAGTTTTTTTAGCCGTATGAATCGAGCAAGACTATCGATTACAAGTTCAAATCTTGTGTGTTCGTAGCAGTTGTAGAGTATATATGTTCACTTGATTCACTACTAGTTACTTCATCTCTGGACAGCATTTGGGTATCAAGGGGGGATTTCATCTTCCTGCTCCCTGATGAGTTTATTTTAAACTCATCAGGGAGATCATTCTTATCCAGCTTATTTGTCATCAAGTACAGAATCTGTGCTTTGTACCGCTCGTACAGATCATTCTACACCATAAAACTCACCGAATTAGATCATAAAAAGTTGATGCCTTTCCTTCGCTATTACAGGTATAGGGCTTACTGTACTACATATATGTTCTTTCACAGGTCTTGATACCTCTGCCTTGATTAATCATCCATCTGGTTACGATCGCTGACTTTTTTGACGTGTAGGGTACCATCACAAATACCTGCTAGATTCAACTTTAGTTCGAAATTTCTTAAACAGTATGAAATATTGGACAGATATTGTTGCTAGAATGTCTAATTGAAGGTACAAGCTGAAGTTTCCAGAGTGTGTATATGATCTTTGCCAGGGATATTAATTCAACATTACATCGTTATGGTACTTTCATCACGCGTGTTCAAAATATTTGGTATTTCATGTCATCTCCAAGAGGGGGACATGGAACATTACTATCAATGGGTCTGATATGTGTGCACGTGAAGATGATAAGACACGCTTTGTGTGACAGATGGGAGCGTCGGAGACCAGTTGCAATGGCAGGTGCCCTTTCTGAGGTTTCACCGGCCACGATAGTGGGGCTTTCAACTGCCTTAAGTTTTGTGCTGCTTCGTGCGTTTGTCTATTTCCGTATGGAGGTCTGTTAACATAAATTCCCTGACCTCCACGTCTCCTTGTTGGAACGATTATGGTACTAGGGAGTCATAATTGATGCGCACAATAGATAACTCTTATATGCAACGTGACGTCTAGCTAACGAATCCCAGTCCTTATATAGGTTCTAACTGTTGAGAGGTAAACGAAGTTTGGACTGTAAGTTATGCTGTCAAGAATACAAGCTTCATTTGACTGTGAAGCTTTCGTTGATTTGCGAATTTAGTACCTTCATTGTGCTGCTATTTTGTCGGAATCTTTTAGTGGTGATCATGAATGATACTTGGGATTGAAATGGATATTCCTCTTTGGTCAAGGTCAAAATTCAGATTTATCAAGCTTCGAACTCACGTGTCACTGAGCTTGTAGTTAAACTGTAGAGGATTTGTAAAGTTCAAGTCTGATGCTTCAGCCTACAGAGAGCTTAGTTCTGTAGCTATATAACATTGCATCAGTACCAGGAGTAGTAGTTCATAGAAGTGCAGATACCAGAAACGTGAATACTACATTGAAATTAACGATCAACTTTTTACTTACTCATCTTAATCAAACTCATATTTCTAGCATTCGCCCTTCTATTCGGATTTTTCTGGAAACGAACGTTCAGTATGACGGTGGTTAGTGTACAGCTAGAGAACTAATTGTCGGAGGCTAAATTACCTTAATCGATTATTGGCAGTAGAAATATACGAAAGATTGCATGCCATGAGTCATGGTCATGCCTTGTATAGTGTTGCTTAAGACTGAAGTATCATGTGCATGATTCACAGCAACTACGATTCTTTAGCCAGATATGTCTGCTTCATTAGTTCAGATTCACGGAGCTTGTAATTGATTACCGAGCATGTCATCTGGTCTCGAGGCATTCGTTAGACAATTCATTCACTTGTTTAAGATCAGTTTCACCCAGTTTAATCTTATATTTCAGGTAAAGAACTGGACCTTTTCGAAGTGTCCATAGTGACTGGCTTTGTATGATTTCACAAGTGACTGAAGAAGCTGTTTGTTTGTGTTACAGTACATCATTGCTTCAATGTTGGGCAGACATGTTCCCCGAGGCGGGGCCAAGGTTGTTGAGCTAGACATACGTGAAGGAAGAAATATGTATTACTATCCTTCTGACACAGTCCAGGTGGTGGCTGTAAGTAGTAATCCCAATCGGACGCTTCTAGAAAATCAAGGTGTGTTTCGTCTGATCTATATTGCAGTAGTTTTACGTTGTGGTCACAAAATTCATGGCATCAATGCAATCCTGTTTAAAGCGCTCCTGCGCATGTTAGTCTAGAAGCCAGGTAAGCTGGATGCAATCTTGTGTGACTCTTCATTCATTGAGAGGTTTGTACTTGAGACTGGAGGGGCTAAAGAGGGCCGTTCAGCTTGTAAAAGTATGACGGTAAATCTTGTTCAGCTTGTAAATCTGGAGCTTAGCATTGTATAGACTTTTGCGCCATATCTATGTTCATGTTATCATTGAATTAGGTCAACAACTAGAGCAGGAACGCGAATTATAGTGTTCCTGCGCTCCTTAATTGAAGTGTGATAGTGTACAATGAGTAGGAGCAAAGTGTGATGAATTTCAAGCATCTAGGCTCAAAATGGCTGGCACACTGAAAGATTCTATGATCAGATACATATTGCCGGCTAACTGGACTTTAAGAAATCGATTAATGTCAAATACTCATTATAAGGTTTTAGTTATAACGTCGGAAAAGTAGATTGAACGAATAGGGATGTACATCATAACAGTTAAAAAGTTCTCCCATTAGGGCCCTTTGGCACTTGGCTCTCTCCTTCTAGTGTTCGTGCGCAGATGTCGTCAAGACACTTTTGGCATCCGGAAGAAAGATGAAGATGACTGGGAGTTCTTGCGTGGTCCTACGTCTGTTTACGGAGGTCAATTTAGTGGTACTCATTTATGAAATGAATAACACTGAATTGATTCAAGAAATGATTCACGAAAACAGTCATCGTATGAATTGCAGGGATTTAGAATTTGGTGCCTGAAGCAACATGCTGAGGTTTCAAATTTTGAATCTGCGTGGATCACTGGAATCCTAAGAGCAGTCAGTTACTAGGAAATATCGTACGATGATTATACACATCCTGCGTGATCATTTATCTGACTGAAGCCAAGAATGTTCGAAATGAGCTTTAGATAGATCTTCGATGCCTGGACCTCCAGAGTTTGTGCCCTTCTTTCTCCTTGCGTGTTAATCCATTGCGGTTGATCATATGTTACTCTAATGTCATTTGTCTTGCCTGCTTCGTCATATTTCTCTTTCTTCCACTCGATCTTATGAATATCGTAAAGATTAAAATTGAATTTTCTACAGAAACTTGGATCAAAATGGCTCTCATTACTAGGTTGGTCTAGGGAGTTTACACACCAGCGACAGAAATAGTTTTGCTGCTTCAAGTTGGAAACATTAAAATGGATAACCTGAATAAGTGTCACAGAATATAGTTGAATATTCTGACATTCCATACAGCAGTTAGACTACCTCATCAACAGACCTAATTGGTAGGTAATCAGGATCGTCCAGTAAAGTCCGTACACCTGCACCCATGATCAGTGTTTGGTAGTAATTACTCGTCGTTTCAGTTGGGAAAACTCTGAAAAGTTATGACGCCTTTTGCCAAGTCCTTAGGAAAGGTTCTTTTACTGAACGATGGGTGAAACTTACGTAGCGTGAGAGGGCACTATATGCAGGACAAAATTTTAGAGATCTCATCAGTGACATCCATTTTGGCCATCATATGAATTCATGTAGCTGAAAGTCTACTGGATTATCAGTCTTTTGGACAAAAGAAATTTCTCTCATGACCTAGATTATTGGAGGGATCGTTATAATAAAAAAATTTGGAATATATGCAACAAATAATGCTCTCATGTGCATGCCTAGTCGATGGCTCGATGAGTGAATGACAATTCTTTGGGTATAGGTGAATATGATAGTTTGATATTCTATTTCTTCTTATTGGTTGAATTATACATCACATCAACGCATGTTTTGTTTTCAGCTATCAAAGCAGGAGTTCCCATCCAGATCAAATTAAGTGGAGCGAGTACTCTGGGACTTCCTGCCAACACCATGGATGCGGTGGTAAGCATATGATGAACCTGGAGTTTTAATGATCATTTCACTGGAAACCTCTGTACTTAGTTGTTCAAAACTAAAATTGTCCGTTTATATATTTAAGTTTTATCCGCAGTACAAATTCGGATAGTTTAAATTTAATGGCTCAATTACATTGTGTATTGTTATATTTGACTTGTGTGTGTGTGTATATATATATATATATATATATATATATATATATTGGGCTGATCTCCCACCCTGCTGATTTGCCTTTCCCACCCTCCCTCTCTCCCTTTAATTCTCACCACCTCCGTCTCCGCTTTATTGATTCCTCCATTCCTTGTACCTTCACGCTAGAACCCCCCTCCCGAGGCCACTTACGACGCTGCCTTGAAGGCTGCGTGCGTACAGCATGCTGCCGCTCATCTCTATAGCGTCACCACCAAGCGGTCCGATTACAAGATGGGCGTCCTATTACTGCACTGCGGCAAGTTTGGTACACGCGATGATCTCCATGGTATAACAGAGGAGACAAGCCAGCGCCCTTCGAGCTCGGTCCTGACTGGCGCCGGAGAAACGTAGAAAGGTGTCGGGGAAGGGGGCAGGGTGGGAAAAGCAAATCAGGAGGGTGGGAGGATGAGCCCCCTATAGATCTAGGTATATGCTTTGCTTTGAAGACTCTACGTTATACTTAATTCTGTGTTTCAACCTTGACATTCTACGATCAACTTAACTTTTCGTCGATCCAATACAAACTAATTGTCCACATCTTATCTGAAGTTAACCTCGACCTTTCTAATTATACACCATAGGGTAGGGACCCTTCAGGCTTGCCTAATCAATGATACTCGCTGGGCTTTACCAGATGGTATATATTTGCATCCATGTGGTACAACCTGTATCCATATTGGCCAAATACCTATGCACCTTGGTACGCTGGTGACGCCGAGCTGCATGTGTTGCAGAGTGGTTCTTTTCATTCATATGTTAGGGAATGTAACTTGCCTTGCTTGCATCCTCCGTGCTGGCCTGTAGCGCTGTATATTCTCTGTTCTGCTTTTAGTTCGTGGTAGTTTACATCTGATTTCCTTAGTTGCTCAACTTGTTTTATTCAACTCTCTTATCTTTGAACCCTAAGCTAATTTGTAGGGGCTCAATTTTATATTGATTTCCTGTTTTTCCAAATATCTTCGAGCCAAACTCAATTTATTTCCAATTATATGTTTTGCAATAAATCCTTGTCTCGCCCTCGTAGGTACACACGAAATGTTATATTTTCTAAATTACTTCTGTTCAAACATCATACTGTTTGTATATATTTGATTGATTTCATTACAGTCTCCACCGGAAGTTACTGAAATGGTGTGCTGTCAAGTCTAGTCATGTTTGACACCTTCAATCCTCATCTAACTTTTATCAACATGTGGAATCTATTTATTTATCTGTATGCAGACCTCCGAAGTAATATAATTGAAGATACTTCTTTAGTTCATGCATCTATCTAAATTATGAACAATAAGTTTGTATATTTTAGGACTGTATATGGAAGCTTTGTCACGTACAGAACCATAAGTCAGGAGTTATAAAAGTTGCAGCTTCAGTTAGCTTGTCGCTTGTTCTTTTCGTTCTTTAAATGGCATTTTTTTGTTTTCCAGGTTAGTGTCAAAGCCTTTTGCAACATTCCGGATGCAGAAGTGAAAAACACACTGCGCGAAGCTATTAAAGTTCTTCAACCTGGAAAGGTGTGTACTGGTTCATGTTACTCTTGATTTATACTGGACTATTACAATGTAATAGTACATGCAGATAAATTTCTGAACCCGGAAAGCAGCATAAAAGATGAAACGATTGAAACAAAGCACAACAATTTTCCTCGCCGAAACAAATGAATCGCATAATTGTGTCCTTTCTACGTGTGATTGTGGACAAACTTCGCTTACTGTAGCTTATTTTTTTCGGTAAGATATCTCAAAGATCTGGTCATGAAAAGGAAAAAAGATAAAGTAAAACTTAAACCTACGAGTCTCTTGTTACTTATGACTACTTGTTTTCTTTTATTATCGGACCTGTTTTGATCTGATTCGGTGCCCTCATTAAAGATCAGCACATAGGGATTTATGTTCGAGAACATACTTCGTACATTCTATGTATGACAACATTAGATTATGATCTGATCCTTTCCTTTGACTTGGACTTCAGCTTTTAGTTTGTTTCCAATTACATATACTTGACCAGAGTACTAGTTTAGCCTTACATATCCTAGATAGGTTTGAACTTCTGCACTAAATTGGAGGTGATACAGTTACATTCACTTTGTCTTCCAAAAATATTTTCTCACAGATCGAATGCAACGCATCGGTAAGGTGTTTCATAAGTGACGACAAAAGTTGATACGTAGAGCGATTTCCAGCTATCACATTTTACAAGTAGTCTCCTAATAGAAGAGATGGGATTGAAGAAAGAAGTCACTAAGTTTAGCATTCTATATATTGGACCTCGAAACAACGCGAGGTGAATATTATGGTGGAAAGTTTCAAGGTGTTTGATTGAATAGAATTCTACGATTTTGTCCCCTCCTACATAGACCTCGAGCGCGTTTCCACTGATAGTTTTGAACAATCATCAGAAATGTCCATCTTGTAAAGGAACAACGCCTTTAGGCTGAATATGCTCTAAAACATATCAGATAAAGATCTCCATGTTTCTTTTTCTCTCGGATTCCTAGCTCTTCCATCTCTTTTCTTTCCTTTCTCTTTTTTTCTTAGAACCTTTTACCTATGGCCCTAAAGTCTATGAGTGGCATGGGTACAGTTGATTGGGAAGCATGCCATCCTCATAGAGATGAATACCCGGGTCTTTCCGCTTTTGTTAATTCAAATATAATGCGCAGCACAGATAAGCCAACCTAGCTGATAAGATATATGATGGATTGTTTCGAGCATTAGTGAAGATCAGAAGATTTTCACGAGTAGATTCCATTGGAAAGTACCCAATTAAACGCTTGGGTGGAACTTCATGAGCTAGTCTCTTCCTGCTTTTGCGTTTTGAGCTCAAGTCAGTTTAAAGAGTTTGATATTACCATGATAACTCTTTAACGTCTCTCCTTTCTTCTCTGTTGTCATGTGTCGTGCCGTGTCTTGTCTGTAGGTATGGGGCTAAACTTTGATTCAGTGCCAGGCAAATCCAGCAAGTGAAGAACGTCTGTTGTCCTTAAAAGTACCAAAAAGAAATCATGCTTCACCAGAAACATTTAGTTCTAAGATTCCGTGGACCTTCTGTGGGGAACGTGGTGTATGTAGCAATGTCACCATGGGCACTCTCAGATTATCTGAGTTACCCCATGTTCTTTTGGTTCTCTTGTATACACAGGATCTATTAGCAATGTGTGGAAATTCGTTTCTAGAATATCTCATGACAAATCTCTTCTTGACAGTGAAAACGGTTACCTTTGAGGAGACTTCATCCACATTGCTCCTATTCTTTGTCCTAGTTCTGCATTATTGGAAAGGAGTGCTGTATTTAGCGAATTTTACGGTAATAAAAAGCCATAGAAGGGCTATCCATCTGTATGTGGATGGAAAAGACAACAGTACAAGACGTGCTTTTCATGAAAAAAATTGATGCGAAAGAAAGAATGTAGCATTTTCACTGCGGAGGAGTTTTGCATTTGCATTACACCACACGAAACGTCTTTTGAGTTCAATGGGTTTAGAGCATGACCTCGCAACTCATTCAAGAAAGTCGCGGATGTTGTGTACTCTGAAAATTGAAAGGGATATTACTTATCCTTCGTAGGATCTTAATTGATTTAGATAGACATTCTCTTTAACCAAAAACTGATTTTAAGTCCCAACTTACTCGGAAAGTGAAAGTCAATCGTAAAAATCGTCTCAAACTAAGAGATTTAAGCTCCTAGCAACAAATTGCTGTACTATATTAGTGTTGTAGGGTTTAACGAAGAGTAGAGTCCGGAGCAGACTATGTTCACCTTGAGTCACAATCTTCACCTACATCAAACGCAATATCTGTCACATGATTTAATCTCTTGCTGTTATTTCTCTCTCACCATTTTCTCCATGGGATAGGTAGAGAGAGCAGGAAACCCAAGGACCTAATCGAGTCATTCTAACGATGTCTTTTGACTAGTATCCAACTTCTTGCAATACCTTACGCAACGGTTTTTAAGTGTCATATGCAACAATCTGCTCAGTAGTGAGGGAGTTCAAGCGTGCACATTCTTTCCTGGGTACCTTGATGCTACCTGGTAACACTTATCTTCCCTCTAGATAATGATATTCTTGTCTGCCACATATTCGTTGTTTCAACGTAATTCGCAGACGATTGTGTTTGTTTAGCAATGTTCTGTTGTTCGTTGTAACCAGAAATTTTGGCAGTTCATGGGAAGAGAGGTGAAGAATTCTAACGAGTGTAATTTCCGAGCCATGTGCTTTTCGTCAGATGATTAGATTGCATAGCAGTATATCTCATCATGCGATGTTTTTTACTACGTATGTGTAGTGAAGCACGGAAATAAATACGAAATCTGGATCCACTGGTGAGTACTGTACAGTTTGTAAATGCAAATGTTTGCGTCTTGTCTTTATAGGAGACATTGACAAAGTAAGTGAAGAACACGAGCCTTCATACATGATCCGGATTTTGAATGTTTTAAAAGTACTTCCTTTGTGGAAAATGGAAGAGGAGGCGATTGTTGATTTTCAGGAGAAGCACTGAAATTAATTCACAGTACTGGTATTGTCTCTATGAGGACATGTTCTTTATATCGCAACCGCACTTTCAGATTCTGTTCGATTGTTTAGGACTTTCGAGGTATACTAACTTGATTCATGGTTATAATTTCACATAGTATATGTCTTACATAATTAATCGAGCTATGATAAAAATTGATCAACTGTAAACTCATACAGGAATTTGTGTTGATTAAAAGGAAAAAAGATATAACGTGAATGGAAACAACCATTCAGTTCATAATTTGTTGAGTCTTTACTCTGGTGTTACTCTAGTGTCATATTAGGTTCTAAGAAGCTACCGTTGTTACGTTTGCAGCCTTTCATTTTCGTCGAGCCTGTTGGAGCCAAAAATCCTGTAGTTAGAGCGGCACAGAATGGCATACAAGCCATTTACAATTTTACCAGGTCCAAAAGAGTGGTTACGCGCGATCTTCTGCAGTATATACAGGTAACATATCCTGGCGTTTTTTCCTGCACCTATATCATGTCCGTGTGATTGATCGCGTGAATTCGTGTATGTCTTGGAAGGTTAATTTATAAAATTAACTGATCCAACGAAAGATCTCTTCAAGTGCACAACAATTCAGCGTTGACCTTACTGACGTCTGTCACTCTCTTTGTTCTGTTAAATCTTGTCTTAAATTTTAACACATTATTGTGTTAACATCGTTTTGTAGGAGATGGACGGATTGGAAGAAGTAGAATACGAAGAAATTTTTGGGTTTTTCGATCCACAACTGGTTGGTGTCGCAAAGAAGAAGCCCACAGACAAAGTGAATCTTGAAAAAGCTTCACAGGAAAGTCCTTCGGTTAAACGAGGTTTCAAGAAATCGAAAGCTTGAGGAAAAATATTGACTTAGCAGCTGTACATTATTGTTTGCCTCGAAATTCAAAGCGGGCATTAAATCACACAAGTCATTAACCTTGATTTTGCATGTTAACCACTGCAAAAACTTGGCAATCCAAAGATGGAAGATTGTAAAGTTTGAAGTAACCTGATTCTCGAAATCAGACATCGTTATCAGGACCTGGGATCTTAACAGGATATGGAGCATGGTGTATAACAACGATCACACGCACATCCGTGCACAGCACTGTTTATGTCCAAACGATTTATTCCCACAGCGCTATGGTATCTGGTAGATATGATTTTAACGTTGGCTCAACGAATTAAGTTGATGTGATGGCAAGCTACGGGAAACGCAGGTGGATGGTGCAAACCAACCACCGAAAAAAGACAACGTATGCGCAATTTATCCAACCATTTTGTGTTGATTACTCTAGCTTCGAAGGACTCAACCACGGAACCTTCCAGCAAGTCCGAAAGAATGGCGACTGTGACATTCAGTCAACGGATCCGAAAACTACGCTGTTGAACGTTGTTGAACGAAAACTACGCTGTTGATCCGAAAACTACGCTATGTCATGGCATCCCGTGTCTTCTCTTTGAACCACGTCGAAAACGGTGAAAACTCGCAACAGATAAACTGAGAAAGCTAAGACTGAAGCACAAAGAATCAGATATCGTAAGAAGCAGAAACACCATCAATTACACTACCGTGAGATACAGCACATAAATTTGATGGATGTTTCTTCCATACAGACAAAGTAGATGGGATTCTTATCCATCTGTACCAGACTGTCTTCCTACGCCGAAGAGGAAACTCCATTCAAAGTGAATGTCCTTTCGCAAGGAGAGAAAGGACATTCAGTGGTACTAGCCACCTCAATGTACGTCTCCTTCAAAGATTTTCCATTCCCTACCACCATCCGACCATTCATCAGCAAGGAAGCCGATGTAGCTCATATTCTCTCTTCATTTTCTTTCCATTCGTCATTGACCGACCGAGTAGATGTTTGACCTAGATTGATTGTTTGACTCAATCTAAGATTGTACATTTTCAACCACTTGAAACTGATCGTCTAGCTCTCTCTATCTGTCCGGTGTGAAATATGATCTTCATGTTCAAAGTGACGAGAGAGGTAGAAACAGCCGGAAGAGGTAAACTGGAAAACCTCCCGGGTTATTGAAGGAGTGAACCCTCATCGATGCCTCGAGTGCGCTGACATTTTACTGCTCCATGAATGTGACAGCTACAGTTCCTTCAGTATTCAGTAACAGATGTGCTGAGCCATACTACTACCACTACTACTATACAGCAAGTATTGAGAAGTCCTGCCTAACGCCAATGTAGAGCTGGGCAGTTATTATCACTGCCAGCTGCAAAACCTACTGTACAACTATTACCACCACCACCGAAAGAGCATCGAGGTTTGAAGCTTATTGCCCTTCTCCACACACCTATATACGTAGATGTATGGAGATAGATAATGATACATCATCTATAGCATCTAGCTCGCTCATGGTCGCCCGTGATGCTGTATTCCGACTTATTTGCTACACCTACGGATATGTGACCAGCTCCAGAATCACCGTCCTCTTCAATTAGCTGCCCCTTCATTCAAAATAAATGATTTCCATGCACGACTGTCTTGCAGTAGAGTTGAATGCTGTGGACGTCACATTCAGTTCAATATCATTGGTTGCTTGCGTATATGCCCACTTTCATGTCTATCCAACTCGACTAGCACTCACAGGTTTCTTTATTTGTAGACAAGGCGGGGAAAACGGAGACGCTGTGGACGTAGATAGCAAGAGAAGGGAAATCTCTACATTGGAATTTGCCCACACGGATTGTAAGTTTCCACTGTTTCACTTCCAGCTTGACTTGGTCAAATTTCTCATCATCTTTTTAAATAGCATAAGACCGAAAATAGGGGGTCATTCTTCTGGCATATGCATGAGTCACTTCCTTTTCCACATTGTCATCGGTTATTTGCGTTCTTTTCATAGACACATATCAGAATTGAATTTGCAATAGTTCGAACAGGTCACACATGCACGCACTACCGAGCCCAACAAATTATTGCTGCTCCTCCATTGGGTCCTTTGCAAAGGACAACTGACTCTCAAGATTTAGTATTTGCATGTGTATTTGAAAGGATATATTTCTTCCGTTCTTCAGATGTGACTTGAGCATACCACAACTCATCGACCACTGGTTTGGACTCTCGTTCCATGCTGAATGTGGATGCTAGGACATTCGTGATACATCTCGTGTCCATCTTATAAACAGACCATTCAAGTCTGTTCAACTGTTTGACTACTTTAGAAGCATGTGCGATCGTTAGAGAACGGCTTGTAAATGGTTTCTATAAAACATCATTCCACTAAGGCGAGAGAATATCTTGATATGAGTGCTAGTGGTTTCAAGAGATGTAACTGAAGCTTGTAAACAAGAGTATAATCACATAAAAGAACGAAAGATGGTGAATCAATGTGCAAAAGTTACAATAATACTTGGGAGTGAATGGCAGCTAGAGCGTGGAAATACTGTTTCGAAAATCTCTGGGAAGCAGAAGAAAGTAGAGCTTTAGTATTGCAAGCAGAATAAAATGTATTCAAGTTCTGAGGTGTTAGTCAACCAAGTAGAAGACGATCACAGAAATTAGTATTCGACAAGGAATCTACACGAGAAAACACATGCGGTTCTGTAGTATATGATTACGTGAACTCGGTCTTCATGACCACAAACATGGACATACAGACTACATGGATAGACCCAACCACCCACTAGAGCAGTGTTGATACTTGTTAGGACAGAGACCTTGATGTGGCCAGGCTGATGAGATTTCGAGGAGGAACATCACATTTCACAGAAATTGATTTCTGCGTTACCTTTTACCAAGAGCCGTCGCAACATAAGCCAAATTGAAGAGGACTGTAGAACTTCGAAAGCAGAAATCCGTTGGAAATTATCATTTGTTGCTCTCACATGCTTACAGTCTCACACCTCCTTTTCCTCGCAAGGGAAGAATTCCTCTTCCCTAGCGAGTAAAAAAGAATTCGAATCTAAAATGATTCTTTCTTTCCTTGCCTTCGCAACACCAATGAATGAGTGGCGACAAGCATAGCAATAGTGAAAGCGATGCATTTCTATCTCGATGTGCATTTATAGTCAGTGGAGACTCGTTATGATTGTTCGTCTCGTTGTGGCGCTCTCAAAGGCCTCTCTTCATGGTATCCTACCCATCACATGCTCTCAGAGTAATTAATGCTTCTGTACCTTTTCAATCTTGAAAAGGAGCAGATTTATCTACTCTTTGACTTCCAAGTTTCTTGTACCATAGACATATTAGTAGCATTGACCAGGCTCAGTTCGCAGCTATCATATTAGAGGGGATTCTTTCCTTTAAAAACGCTTTGAAGAAATCAAGAGCGATAAGAGAAAGGTGGCACCAAGTTTGCAAATGAGAACATCCATGTGGATGAAAGCAAAACTAAACGTTGTTGCGAAGATCCTTTGCAAATAAGTTCATGGCTTAACTTCGTTGTGCTTTCTAAATTTTTCCATTCATAAAAAGTCAGTTTAACATATTAAAATAGATTTACCCTTTGAATCACATAATTTTATTGTAGATTTGATAGAGTTTAGGTTCATTGCTGATGGCTTTTGTTGGTTTGAATTTCTCCCAAGTGCATTAGTACCTTTGGAATGTGCAATCAGAATGGTGGGTACTTTGCACTCTATGGAGTGATGTGTATCATTACAGTGTATGTATTGCTAGAACTTTGAACTTAGTATATAATTTCTTCCAAATTTCAACTCTAACAAATCCAGTCTTGTGACACAATAACGTTTCCAATTATAGCACTAATAATTATATTCTGGCAGATAGAGATTTGGCTAATTAGGCATTCAAACTTCAAATGACTAAATGTATTCCGAAGAATAATAAAAGAAAATGTAACAGCGCTTGGATTCCAAAAAACCAAGTGGGTTCTTATTTCAACCACAAATATGTAGATGAAGAAATGAATGAATATGTCATAGGTCAAAAATTTGATAGAAGTCTTATAATAGCATATATTACATCCAAGGTTATCTTGTAAATATTCATATCAATTATGACATACAATAAGTTGCACTTTTATAGATAAATTATCTTTCAATTGAATTCTTAGTTGCATGTGTCATTCAAATTTAATTTAATTTCTTAAACATTTTTTTTCTTTAAAATAAGCTTAAAATGTGGGAGTACATGGAAGTTTTAGAACCAAACATTCTATAGTAGAAATTGTACAAGTTAGTAATGCTGGGATTGGTGGTTCTATATTAATTAGACATGATATCAATAAAAAGAGGATCAATAAATAATTCTTTGTTTGCATCATTTGTAACATTTGGATTGATCTGATATAGCAGCAACCCACAACCGCAACCACAACCAAAATCACAACACAATGGCTTCAAAGAGGTACATCAATACGAACATGATCAACTAGGTTTGTATAGCTCTTTGTGCGCACAAGAAGAATCATCCATTGCTCAGGCAATTAAAGTTGATCAAGTGACTTCCTGAGACAAAACACGTTTTTGTCAATTAGGAAACGATTTCTCTAACGTTCAAACGCTCGGCAGAAAACTTTGCCAAGATGGAGAATGTGAATCAAACAGCAAAGCGGCAGCGGAGTGTGAAGTACCCACTGATGAAGACAGCTCTATACTGATGGCTCCTCACATACCACGATTGAGTCAATATGTTAGGTGACCTCATTAAAGAGAATACTGCGTATTTCCTTGCCAAGTTCTACCCTGACCACATATCTTTTGAGTTATCAAATGGGTGTTTGGAGGCATTCAAAAATCGTCTCGACATCAAGGTCTACTGCCGCTTTGGGGAGTTTGGATTTGTCAACATGGTTCTAATTGAAAAGAGATTGTCGCAAATTCGTTTCAACTCTGGATCAATATGAGCGGCATGACATCTACAACATGGATGAAAGTGGAATTTTTTTTACAGAATGCAAGTAAGTGCAACATGATATGCTCACTGTTTAACCATTAATTTACTTTCACTAACATATGACATCTCAACAGACGGACAATTTCTTAGTCACAAAGCAGCTTGAAGGAAGCAAACAAAACAAGAAGCGTCTTGTCGGCTTTGTGCTGCAATGCTGATGGCTCAAACAAGCTT